CAATGGTTAAAAGACATACCAGTGCCCCCTACCCTCACTCCTGCCACCTTGGCCCATTTCCTATTAGCATCCCTGCCAAAAAAGAGAATTTGGATAAAGGAGAACACAGGAAGGCAGAAATAGAGGCATCGGGAACATATTAACCATCTTTATTTCCATCAAAAGAGAGTGTGTGATGGTTAATTTTATGTGTCAACTTGACTGGCCTAAGGGATGCCCAGATAGTTGGTAAAATATTATTTCTGGGTGTTTCTGTGTGGATGTTTCTGGAAGAGATTAGCATTTTGAATCATTAGACTGAGTAAAGAGATCCAGCCTCACCAATATGGGTGGGCATCATGGATTCTTTCTCTCTTATTGAGCTGGGATGTCCATCTTCTTCTGCCTTTGGACATCAGACCTCCTGGTTCTTGGGATTTCAGACTCTAGGACTAACACCAGTACCTCCCTGGTTCCCAGGCCTTTCAACTTGGACTGAATTACACCACTGGTTTTCCTGGGTCACCAGCTTGCAGATGGCAGATTGTGGACTTCTCACCCTCTGTAACCACACAAGACAATTCCTATAATAAATCTCCTCTTACATATCTATCTTTATATATCCTGTTGGTTCTATTTCTCTGAAGAACCCTGGTAATACAGAAGGTAAGCATTCACAGAAATGGTTGATCCCATACCTTTGAGAATGGATGCATTGGGCACATTTTAACCATTTTAAAATATTTTAAAATTTCTTACATATGCAATATGCTGTATTGTTCACAAAAACATTTGCATACAGTTTTGATTACTATGAAACAAATCCATGTAGAACTCTTAAATTAATACTTACTTTTGCTTATTTACTTACTTTTTTTTTCTCCCATATTTTCAGTTCTGAAACTGGGAGTTGTCTTATAATCAGTGGTGTTTGGCAGTTGTCATCCACTAGGAATGACTGTGACCAAGTGTCACTCAAACTGGGTCCCAGTTTTTCGTGTTGTCACTTCAACTGAGTTACCTGTATGGTCGACACTATATGTGTTAATTACTCTTTAGTATGTCTTAAAAACTATAATATGATTGGACTTCGAGACAAAAAGTTACCATGTACACAGAGAAGCAAAGAAAGAGTGGGATGAAATGTGACATTTGGGAACCAAAGAGCCATCACTGGAGGAATGACCGCAGGTCCATATGTCTTGCAAAGCAGCCACTAAATGTTTTACCTAATGAAGGAAGATATCAACATGTAGAGAAGGCTGGGTTTCATTTTGTTGCTGAAATAGATACAAAAGAATTACCTATCACACATCACTCAAGGTACCCAAAGTCAGAAGAAACTGCCCAAACTCTCAGAATAGATAAAAAACATTTGGAAGTAAAACACCACTGATTAGACTATTACTAAGACATGGCATCATAATTTCATTTGTAGGATTTTTTTCCTCCTTTGGTGGAATTCTCTGCTGGATGCTTTTACTTGACATTTAAGCCTCACACCAATTCTGCTCCATCAACATCATTATCCCCAACTTAGAGATAAAAGATGAGTCATTTACTCAGGTTGCTCATTTAGTTTTGGTAGAGCTAGGACTTGAATCCTCATGTGCTCATGACCAGAGCCTGCGCCACCTTCTCTAACCTTCACTGCCTTGGTAGTAATCTTCCCAATTTTTCAACTCCTCGGTCTTTCAGAAGTACCTTTGGGGAAGAATGGTCTCAAGAAGCCTATAAACTTGAGCTATTCTGGAACAAGATGACATTTTGGGTTTTTCTTGGTTTTTCATCTAAAAACTTAGATTTGGGACTGGGAATCCTGGCTTAGGCTTTTAAGCCTAGGATTTAAAATCTTGACTAGGGTACTTTTGGCGTTGATTTTTCTGCAATGTACCATGAATTCCTCTCACATATTCTCTTACCTCATCTTGCAATGGTTTCCTAAAGGCAATTTGTAAATGTAAATTTACCTTTAAATTTAAAAATAAATCTCTCAAAGCTAGTTTTTCAACTGGGTCCTCCTTATTTATGCCTGAGAATAAAGTTACAATAATAGGCCCAAAAGTGCCAACAGAAAGTAGGTGGATTGAAGATAACCCAATATATGTCTCTCAACATCAACAGCCAAGGATTTTCCAGAAAGCTCCTGTTAGAAAAGTACTGAACATTTATTTTTACCAAACTTCAGGTTCTCAAGAAATAACCAGATGAGAGTCTCACATATAAAAGTTTGTTTCCACGGCTCTCTGAGAGGGGAAAAAAGAACCAAAATAAAATAAAAATGAAAACCACTTGAATTTCTAACCATGATTATAATTGTATTCATCCCAACATTTTTAAAGGTTTAAACATGTTTAGAAAAGCGGTTTCTTCTTAGATCAGGATCAGGAACTGCAGTCCTCTTGGGAAAGGCCAGTCTGTGGTAAGCTAGCTGGCAACAGAGATGGAAGTGCCAGAAATGTCAGGGGGAAGCTGACGAGTCTGAGATTCTTGTGTGATTCTAAACCCAGGAGAATTTGCTTGCATTTGGAATGACTACTACCTCAGGGAATGAAACCAGAAAAGTCATTATTCACACTTCATACATTTATTTCTTTTTAGATTTGGTTCAAAGGCTCTGAGAGTGGCATTCTAAACTAGAGGCATCCAGTTAATTAAATCACAAGGACTTTGTAACAAGTAACAAAAATAATTCATTTCTTCCAAATTGAGCTAGTAGGGCCATTCTCTTCTTTCTTAGGACAAGCATTCAGTGAAAACAGGATCGGTATACAACCAGGTTGAGTTTTACTGTAATCTCTCTGCTATGAAAGATTTCAGCACATTGTTGGCATTTAAATGATTAATAACTAATGCAGTGTCATTTAATATTCTATTTGTCTGTTACCAGTTTTTTCTAATTAACAGCTAGGGTTACTCAAGTGACTCTTAAGAATGGGCTGCTAGATTTCAAAATAATATTTAAAGACTCATTTACAACTGTACCTATTCTTGCCTTTCCCTGCCTGACTTCATAGAAGGAGATGTCTCTCTAGTCCAAGATGAATCACCAAACTATACTCTAAGTGTATACACTGAAATTGAATTTACCATTTGGCTCACCTCTTAAACTGTTGCCTTAGAATTTTCTTTCTCAGTAAATGCTACCATCATGCATCAAGCTTCCCAAGAATGCACCCAGGGATCATCAGAGACACTTTCCTTCCCATTCCTATACCTAGGCTCCATCCAATCCACCAGTGTCCAATCTGTTTTACTAATTCAATGTTTTTCCTGCATTTCCATTCCCTTCTATCTCCTCTGCTACTAGTAGACCTCACCACTTCCAAGAACCTCCCAAATGATCTCCCTGATATGATTTTTTACATCCATACAATCCATTCTCTATACCACTATCAAAATTATTTCTCTAAATGCAAATCTTAAGACCTTTAAAGGTGCTTCATCATCTTAAGAAAAGAGTTCAAGATCCTTAGCATAGAACCAAGCCCTTTATGCCGTGGCCCTGTAAGCCTCTCCGGCATCATTCTGCACCATTCCTCAACAGCCCCTTTATGTTCCAATCCTACATAAGGACTTGCTGTTTTGCAAATGGACCAGGTTTTGTTCCCTTTCCTGCCTGTGCTTTTGCAGCACGGTTCCCTCGACTGGCCATCTTCTCATCTGCCCACGACCCTTTTACTTAGTTCTTTAGGACAAGTCCCTTTTCTAAGAGCTCTGAGAAACAGTGAGGGAGCCCATGCTTTGAGTTCCAAGTCAAAGACAGTGGTGCCTTCTCCTGCATTTCCACAGGCCCCTGCCTCTTAGCATTTCAATCTTTGTTGCACATGATTGTCTCCTCCAGTACCCTGTAAACTCTTTGAGGAGAGGAGCTGGGTCTTTTATTTTTGTATCTCCAGGTCAAACATGGGACCTGTTACTTGCTAGCTGTTCCATAAATTGGCTGTGGCATGAATTTTAATCCTTTTCCATCACTTCTAGAAACTTTGCTCAAGCAAAGTTATTTTTCTTCTTTCTTTCTGTATGTTAGACTCTTCCCCCTTAAGTCTAATACATCTTTAAAACAAACAACAAAACATTTTCTGTATCTTAGCCCCAATTTTTTGAAAATATTGTCCAATTATTGCTTTAAACTCCTAACCTCCTTTTGATTCTTCAACCCACTGAAATTTGACTTTTACTTCATCATTCTGATGAAATTGTTCCTACCAATGATACAAATTGCTTCCTAACTGCAAAAGTCATTCTTTATCTTAAGTGATTACTCTGGGGTTTTACGTTGTTAATCTCTCCCTTCTTCCTAAACCTTATTTTTGGTGTTTGTGACATTGTTTCCCCTGGTCTATAACATCTCTGAACACTGACCAGCCAATCTAGCAGCCCATTGTTTAAATGTTGGGTATCCCAAGGAAGCCCTTATTTGTTCTTTTGTCTTCTTCTCCCTGAGTAACTTCAGCTAGTTCCATATCTTTAGTGACCATCTATATATCCAGTGAGGCAAAATCTTGATCTTCAGAACTGTTTCCAACTTGTAATAAATTTTGTTACTCACAATACCCTCAAACTTTACATGTTAAAATTCAATTGTTTCTCTCCTCAAACTTGGCCTCTTATATATTTCCTATCCTAGTGAGTTGGCAGTAGAGTCAAGGTAGAATTAAGAATATTGGCTACTGGGGCTCTTGGGTGGCTCAGTCGTTAAGCGTCTGCCTTCGGCTCAGGTCGTGATCCCAGGGTTCTGGGCTCAAGCCCCGCATCGGGCTCCCTGCTCAGCGGGAAGCCTGATTTTCTCTCTCCCACTCCCCTGCCTGTGTTCCCTCTCTCGCTGTCTCGCTCTCTGTCAAATAAATAAATAAAATCTTAAAAAAAAAAAAGAATATTGACTACTTAGATTTTTTTTCCAGGTTTCTATACTAGACTATATGGTCAATAAATTTTAAAGAAAAAAATGACCCTTTATATGTATACCAAGTTAGTGTTTGTATTATCTATTGCTACGGAACAAACTTTCACACATGTGGCAGCTTTAAACAGCATGTATTTATTATCTCAAAGTTCCCCTAGGTCAGACGTCCAAGCACAGCTTAGCTGGGTCCTCTGCCCAGGGTTTCGCAAAGGTGCAATCAAGGTGTTGGCTGGGGCTGGGATCCTCTTCCAAGCTCGCTGGTTGTTGGCAAAATTCATTCCCTTGAAGCTATAGAACTCGTGGCAGCTTACTTATTCAAGGCCAATGGAAGAGAGAGTCTCTGACTTGTTCACTCTTTTTTAAAGGGCTTATCTGATGAGGTCAGGCCCACCCAGGGTCATATCCGCCTTTTGACTTGCTCAAAGTCACCTGATTAAGAACCAGAAATCTCTTCACTTTTGCCATGTAATGTAACATAATCATGGAAGAGACTATCCTATTCTTTCTGCCTTATTCTATTAGTTAAAAGCAAATTATAAGTCCCACCACACTCAAGGGGAGGATCCGGGTGTAGGCCATTGGGAATCATTCTGTAATTCTGCCTGCCACAGCTTAATTTTTTTTAAAAATATGAGTTATGGGAAAATCCATTAAATGTAATTTTGAGATATTAAAAGATTGAATATAAAGAAGAAAGGTATAGAACTTTAACATCTCAAAGTTTAATGGAAATGGCCCATATTTTGAAGATGGTGAAAATGGTTTCTATGTTTATCCTAGCTTACACTTACTGCCTTGGGCAGGAGATATAGCCAAGAACCTACACTTTAGATCATATTATATGAACCTAAATGGAATAATCAGAGAAGTTGTTCTGAAAGACAGACATTTAATTATATAACTGTCTTCACTTGAGAACCATTTTACCATGTGTTCGCCTCATTTGCATTCGAGAGAAAAAAGACAGTTGTATGTCTATGTAAGTCAGTTATATGCTTTCCCTCAGGGTCAATAATTTTGACTTTTCCCAATAGGGCTTTTTTTTTTTTCTTCTAATACTTTTGGCAGACTGTGGTTTTCATCAGAAGTGCTTAATCTTAACTCAGGATAGGTATTTCAGGTATCTTGTAAAGTTGTGTTCTTACAATGTACAATGGCATATCTACAGAGGTTCCTAGATCCTTCACTCTCCCCTTTCTGCCCCATACCTTCTGTAGCTCCTTTTCCTGTATGCATCACACAGATGTTCTGGAGTTAACGAGGTGCCATTAGAATATGAAATGCATAAAAATCGTGCCACTTTTAGGTCCTGCTTCTTAGGGAAAACAGTTCCACTGGTACTTAGAAAAACACAACGTGACTTGGTGAATTTATCTCTTTTTCTTGACATTGGCAATGATAATGCAATGCCCATTGTATACAGTCAGTGTGAGGTCGGCTTGCAAATCCCTACAGATATGTGGTTACTTCTCTACTTTCCCTCTCTTTTGCTTGGGCAACTGCCACATTGATGCACTGGAGCCACTCTTCTGCATTCTTCTCATCCTTGGCCTTGAAAACATAGGTTTTATTGTCTGTGAAGATTTCAAAAGCTCGAGGGAGGGAGCGGTCCCTGCGTTTTCTGGCCACAACTTTCACACTCTGTACTTTGCTGAGTTCTATTGGAGAGTCATCAGGATCATCTTTCTGAAATGCATATGGGAAGGAGAGAACATGAGCTGGCTCCCAGAGCATGAAAATATCTCTGGCAACTGGAGAATTTTCCAAGAGGATCAGAATCCTTTCACTGCATATGGTTCATAACTTTTGTTATTTTGAATGCTAAGGCCTCAGTGAGTCATTCATTAGAACAATGGAGGGAGTGAGCAATTGGCCCTATTTCCAGTATATTAAGTTGGCACAAGATGGCCAATTTATAAGAAATTATTATTCGGTGGGATTTGGGAAAATGTTTAGTTAATATTTCTTTGATTTCATGTCATGTTCGATTGATGTCAACACTGTATCAATAGAGCAAAATGCAATAGTACAATTGGAGTACTATTAACTCAGGATCTGAAATAATTTGGGAAGCATGAAATTGAATTTTCCTTTGTGTTATCTCTGAGAAAGGTGAATTAATTGAATAAACAGCGTCCTAATGTTTAAGCAGATCAAACTGTTTTTGAAACACACTGGAGCTTTGGAAGTATGATTTGTCTACAAACATTAAGTGAAAGAATACTTAATGATCTACATTTTTCTGGCATCAAAACAGAGGCTTACAGATCACCACTGCAACATGAGGGTCATCCCAATGGGCTAGTATGAATAGTTTCAAAAGATCAAATACTTCTTTACAGCAATTTCTTTAACATCCCTGAATTCTTTCGTCTACTGGAGGATGTGCCTGTGCTTGAGGGTCTTGTCAACTCTCCTTTTCCATCTCCCCTACACAACCCACTCTTCTTTCGCTCTGCAATGGAAAGGCACCCTTTTCACTCATCCTGAAGTTACCATGGTGTATCATCCAACTTGGAAAAATCTCAGGAGGATCAAACAAATGAAAAAAGCAACTCAAAATATTGATGCTAGGGAAGTGTCCTTCAAACAAAGCAACACACTCACTCCCCAGCTATGTCATTAAGAGATGCATTTCCAATAGCATTTCACTTTTTAGTGTTCAGTAACTATTTATTAGATTTGGTGTTATACTTATCACTTTTCATAAATGATATAATTTTAAAAATATAATAAAATATCTAACATTTAGAGACTGATACTCACAAAATATTAAAATAATTAAATTTCAATTTATATACATAGTTTTATTGCAGTAAAAAATGATTGGGTGATCAGGATAAAATGCTGTGGGACTGGTAGAAAACAATATGATTTCAAAGAAAAATGATACCATGTAAACATTGTGATGGGTATTAAGTAGGGCATGTGTTGTGATGAGCACTGGGTGTTATATGCAGCTAATGAATCACTGAACACTACATCAAACACTAATGATGTACTATGTGCTGGCTAACTGAACATAGTAAAAAAAATTAAGATGAACTAATTTATGTATTTCTTTAATGGATGGTGTTAGATGTCAAATTGCTACGGTATCTTATTCCAATGGTTATACTTAAAGGAGAGGTGTGAACTTTTTATTTTAAAATGATAATATTTTCAATTCAACAGAAATTACAGTTTGTGGACTGTTTAAACTTATGATAAACTTAAAATGCTGCAAGGTATTACACAGATTTTCAAAATTCTTTTAGGGAATAGACAGAATAAAGTTTGAAGATACCTGCACAAGATAATAATTTGCTAGCTTAATTTGGTTTATGGTAAATATCTGACAGTAATAAGATTGTATTTCTTTGAATTAGTCTATAGAACAGAAATTGATACATGGAGGAACTGATCAAGAAAACAAAAAGTTACCATAGTTCTCTAAAGAGGGACAGTGAATTACCCAAGAGAAGTGGACAGGAAGTCAAAGGGCACCATTGCCTAGCTGGTTGGTAGAGATCAAGACCTTACGAATGCGAAAGTAAAAAAATAACACCATAGTCTTTCAGTCCTTATTAAAAATGCACATTTTTCTCATTTACAAGAAAGGGGTTGAAGCTTCAGCTGGACTGATGACCCCTGTTAGGTCACTGTGTCCCTGGGGATGAGAGGGAATTTGCTGTGGTCGTTGTAGTACATTATATATTTCTCAATATTTGAGCCACATGTTCTGTCAGATTTCTGAAATGTCAAACCATTATTTCCCTATAAAGATATCAAACAAGTTAGCCAATTATAAAATAGCCTACTCTAAGCTTTATTAAAAAGCTCTGAATCAAGAAGTATAAAGGTCATTATTTGAGCTCAGGAAAAATATTCTTATGCACTAACTCTGCTCTGTCTCAAGGGATCTGAGAAATCATTGCATCTTAACTTCTGATTGCTTTAATAAAAACAGGAAACTCAGATGGTCATTTTAAACACTTTAAAAATACTTCAGTGTGGAGCTATGCTAAGGAAAGTTTCTTTAAACCTCCAATAACTGTCTGAATTGAGTCCAATAACTGAATAACCATTATGCTTCCCTTTCAAAAAGATCTTCAGCCACAGAAAAGTCCATCTGTATATTTAATAATACACGCAGATGAATAAAGTAGCATGAGCTTAGGTTTTTTTTTTTTCGTTCAAAAAGTTAACATGACGTTTTATTAATTAAAAAAGCGTTCATCAAAATTTGTCATAATTCGGATATACCATACTTTATTCCTGTTGAGTAAAAAGTTCAAATACATTTTATAATGAGCACTCTAAAGATATAGTGCATATGTTTTCAGTGACTCATAATTTTTAAATAATTTAAAATCTTTCGTTAATTAATTCAAACACAGTTTGGTTTGCCACTGCTCTGTGTTTTAAGTATTCACGGGAAGCAGGACAGTACACTCATTTAACAACAAGCTTTGATGTCACACTGCCTGTGCCTGACTCCAGTTTTACCCCTTTTTACCTTACTGGCTCTAACTTTGGTCAAGCCAATCAAAGTCTCTCTCTCTCTGTCTCTGTCTCTCTCTCTCTCACAAGGGGAAGGGAGTGGGGAGGGTCTGATGTTACATGATGTAAAAGTACCATATGGTGGAACAAGTTTGAGATATAGTAGTTAAACAAAATTAAGTGGGCTCTTTCCTGCAAGACTTGTCAGAACCTTTAGTTCCTTTGTATTTCCCAGATATCTTTGATATCCTGGTAATGACTGACAGACCCTGGGTCCCAAAATCCATGAGTGGGGCACAGTAGGTGTAAAGGCATCAGCAGGGTGTTGTATGCGTGTTCTCTGGGCATCTTTCCACAGGAGTGGATGGATGACCATGTGTACATATGCACATATTTCCCCATCACTCTGATTCTGGGGCTCAAATAATACCTGTAAGAGTGGCACAAGACAGAAATCCAAAGGCCAGGGTCTTGCTCTCCCTGGCTTGCCTGGCAGGCGAGATAAAGACCGAAAGTGCCCCCACTTCCCACTCAAGTGAGATTCCACAAGGCTTTCTTTCTGTCAGACCTAACCTGGTGCCTGCCCATCCTGGGAAAGACACCAGCTCTCAGGGCCTGTGCACTATGCAGAAGGCCACCGAGATCACCCAGCCCAGAGAAATATGCTTCCATCCACTGGCAGGGAGGGAGAGAAGGAGGGAAAGGCACCCCAGATTTACCCATATGTAACATGACAAGAACAATAGTGCTGACCTCAAAGGACCGTTTTGAGGATTCTTTAAGGCAATCCAGGGTGGCATGTGATAAGCTATTATTATTATATTCAAAATATCCAAGAGGTAGGTCAAGATTTCTTTCTCCCTGATCCTGAATGAATAGAATTTAATGATAAATAAAACTGACTTGAGAAGAAAGGAACAATTTTGCATTGCTGATTGGAATAAAATGCTATTTCAGAAGTTTCTCACTGAAATTTCAGAGTACAGATATTTACTGAGCATCCTAGTTCAGATTGAAAATTACATTAAATGAATATTTATTAATTCTTTTAGAATCCTGTTCTATTTAACTGAGTATTAAATGACTGCAAGATGATAGTGGTTTTCCCTAACCAGCACTGAACTTAGTTGACTATGAAAAGTACTTAAAATAAATCAGCTTTTTTCTTTCTCCCAGCCTGCTGTCTCTCTTCCCTGGGTCCCTGCCTCCAAATATAACCTTTAGTTATAAAGGAAGTCAGGGTCAATATCATAAGCTATTAATTTATGTAGGTGATCTATAAGGGAACAAAAGGCACACGGTTCAAATCAAGCTCACTGGGTAGTCCTTTGGCAGTTCATCTTCTAAACTTAAGTCAACTTAAAAAAGATCTCCTGTAATAAACTGAAGAGAGACAGTAAACCAACTAACATAGGACTGAACAGAATAGACAGTCCAAGGGACATATGCAAAAAAAAATGACACTGTGAAATTATTAATGGAAAAGGACAAATTATTGGCGTTTTAACTCAGGACAAAATGCCTACCTGGTTGATGTAGATCAAGACCTTAAAAATACAAGTGTAAAAGACAAGGGGGAAACTTACAGACTTTCCTTTTTGAAACAGAAGTTGATTTCCAGCCAGTGTAAAATAACGAGTTTTCCACCTTTTGATGAACTTCCATCTGACTTGCTTCTCTTTAAGTTTTCCTTCTATGAGAGGCTGGCCATCTTGATTTACAACTGTTGAAGGTAAGAGAATGATCAAACTATTTATTTCCCATTATTTATTTGGCAAGCAATCAAAAGTCAGAATTGTACAATGAACGAGAACCCAGTAGGCATATTTGGAAAGTGTGCTAATAAATTATGAATTTGGTTAATCTTTCCCCCTTTGTCCCTAAAGGAATGCACAATTTAGATATGATAATGGGAACCTGTTGAAAGCCCTCACTGAGATTTTCAAAAGGAATATAGTTCACAAAAAGAGGATCTGGTTAGCAGTTTTTAAGGCGTATCCAGATATCCAGCTTTCTGTGCTTCTTAACTCTTTTCTTTCATGATAGTCTGTACAGATGAACTGCTTAGAAGCACAGCTTTTTGACTAATCACAAACCAAGTGTATTTAATTATTTGGCAGCAAAAGTCAAAGGAGTGCCCCCAAAGATGTATTTTTCCTGAAGACACAACATTGCAAAGGCAAGCCCAACTCTTTTGGACATGGTTATTTCCACTCTGTAACACACATACTCCTTCTCCATTCTGCATATGCTCATCTCTGCCCAATCAACAACTAATCATTCCATGAGTCAACTCAAATGTTGCTTCTTTTGGGAGAACTTCCCCAAACTCAGACCAGAGTGGCTTCACTTGCCATATGTTCTCATAGCATCTGGCATATTTCTTTTACATCAAGCATCATTGGTAGATAGTTATTGGTATTTATCTGATTCATGTCTGTCTTTCCCATTGAACTGAAAGCTCCATGAGGGCCTTTGCTTTGTTCACCGATGTATCACCAGGCAACTAATATGGTGCCTGGCAAATACAGCGAATCTGTAAGTATTTTTTGAGTGAAAAGGTTAATTTTGCAGTGAAGTAGAGTGTGTATGATTACACATAATCATAGAATTAGAAGATGTGTTACAATGTCAAAAGTCAGAAGTTATAATGTTGAACTAAAGAATTTCATTCATTTTGTCAACTACCTAAGATTTACTCTCCAAATTCATAGGTAAGCATCTGATTTCTGGGGATTATGGCAATATTTACTTACATATATTATGTTCAATTTTCATAGCACTTTGGAGGTAATGAAATGTGTTCCATCATTTGGAAATTTAGACAGTGCCTGTTTGACCATATAAACACAACCTATTCTTCCTATCCTACCACTTCTCTTTTCTAATATAGGTCAAATAACTACTTTAGACAAAGAGGATTTCTCCACCTTGACAGCATTTTCAGGATAAGAATGATGAAATGTATGAAATGTATAGTTTTCCTTTTTTTTTAATTTAATTTTATTTCATTATGTTATGTTAGTCACCATATAGTACATCATTAGTTTTTGATGTAGTGATCCATGATTCATTGTTTGCATATAACACCCAGTGCTCCATGCAGTATGTGCCCTCCAGTGAAATGTCAGTTTTCATAAACAAAATTCTACTAAGGCTACTTTGGCCTCCCTCCCCCCTACCCCCATTTGATGTCTATTCAATTGAATGTTCTATTGTCAACCCCAAATTAAAGCTAAAAACTGAAAATACTATCAAATATATTATTAGATAGTGACAGGGCTATGAAAAAAATGAAGTAGGGAGGGACCTGGGGGTTGGTGCACACTCACATAGGTGGTCAGGAAAGAGCTTGGACATTTGAAGGTATCTTTGATCTGAGACTTTAGTGTTGAGAAGTGTCTCCCATCTTTGGAGAATCTTCATGGCAGCTAGTATCGTGCCCAGCCGAGCATAGGGAAACCAGGAACTCAAGAAGTATTGACTATCAATTTCAAGAAAATGATTTCAGGGGTGCCTGGGTGGCTCAGTCAATTAAGTGTCTGCCTTCGGCTCAGGTCATGATCTCAGGGTCCTGGGATGGAGTGCTGCATCAGGCTCCCTGCTCAGTGGGGAGTCTGCTTCTCCCGCTGCCTCTCACTCGTGCTCTCTCTCTCTCTCAAATAAATAAATAAAATCTTTAAAAAAAAAAAAAGAAAAGAAAATGATTTCAGTGCTTTGCTTTGCTTTACTTAGGAATCATCTGATTTAGAGTATTAAAGACTGTAATGCTCTTTGAAAATTTAATTGTCTCATAAACATGATGCTCGCTTCCTTTGCACGGCCTCTACACTCCACAGTTACCTCGGATAAAGCACTTAGGACAGATGCTAGGTCTTTCCTGGGCTGTATGTCCTAGAGAGCCAGAATAGCCTCACAGTGGCCTGGACCATGGGTTCAGTGTTTACTAACAGCGTGCTCTTGAGTCACGAAGGGGGCAGCAGTCTGTCTGAGAGGAGGAACAGAAGGTCCAAAGGGAGATCCAAGATAAAAAGAAAACAAACTCTAAACAAACAAATAATGAAAGACCCAGGCTGAGACTTACATTAAAATCTTTCCTAAAACATCCATTTCCTATGCTTCCAAATGAGAAAAAATTGCTAATCTAATTATGATGATCAAGGATTTTTTTAATAAGAATTCAGAAGAGTTAGATTTGAGTCCTTTCAACTATAGTTTTCTGATCAGCAAGACCCCACCTGATTTACAAAGATGATGAGATCAAAAGTCAAAATTAAGAAACTTATGTGAAGATACTGTGTAAGTAAGCACTATGGCCCCCTCCATCCTCTGCTTTTATTAGACTTTACTTCATAGTTTGTAATCACATTGCTTTCTTGCCATGGATTTAATGGTAAGATTATTTAATGTAATGGCTTCATAACAGTACATTTTTCTAGTCTCAGTCTTCTATATTTACTCAAAGAGGCATTTGAAATAGTCATGATACCTGAGCTGATTAGAAATCATGGTTGATTTAGGTAATATTTAAGCCCATGGATCCTTCTGGATCTGACATAAGGAATTAGCTTCAAGTATTTCTTCTCAAGGCAGATCCAAATGTTGCACTTGGGTGCCTGGGTGGCTCAGTTGATTAAACATCCGACTTGATTTCGGCTCAGGTCATGATCTCAGGATCGTGAGATCCAGCCCCACGTTGGGCTCCAAGCACTGAACATGGAGCCTGCTTAAGATTCTCTCTCTCCCTTTCCCTCGGCCCCTCCCCCACTCGCCCACATGCTCACTTGCTCTCTCTCTCTCTTAAAAAAAAAAAAGAATTTACAAATGTTGTACTTGAAGAGTATGTGACAAAAGTTTGCAAGGAGAACTTGGCAAAATAGCTGAAGGAATTGCTTGAGACACAAGAGTGGACAGGATATCATACCCACAGACTTACATAATGACCATATGACCATAATGACCATGAAAGACTCAAGACAAAATGACAGGTTTACTGGAGCACAAAAGGTTGAAGGACTGTCGAGAAATGCTGCTAAGCAGAGGCTTATCACTGTATAGCTCAGGCAAAATTATCCCAGGGAAAAAGTCCATGGAAAGGGTTGTAGGAAGGAAATGTTAGCAGAACTTTAAAGTAGCTGCATGTGAGGGGCGCCTGGGTGGCTCAGTTGGTTGAGCGACTGCCTTCGGCTCAGGTCATGATCCTGGAGTCCCTGGATCGAGTTCCGCATCGGGCTCCCTGCTCAGCGGGGAGCCTGCTTCTCCCTCTGACCCTCCCCCCTCTCATGTGCTCTCTCTCTCTCTCATTCTCTCTGTCTCAAATAAATAAATAAAATCTTAAAAAAAAAAAAATAAAGTAGCTGCATGTGAGGACCCAATTTAGTCATCAGAGTCGGCTTTAGATAATTTTGTAAAAGCCAGGCTATTTGTAGCTGTAGGATTAATTTAAAAATAGTTTCAAAGGCAAAAAACAAAGAGACTTAAAATTTTTCCACTTACTATCCCATCTCTTAATTTTTTTTGCAATTATATCTAGCATATGCATGAGAGGCCATGTTTCATTTTAAAAGGTCTATTGCCCATATCATATCCTTGTAAGCAATAATTCTCATGATAACCCTGTCTTCATGATCAAAACAGGGAACTAATTTTTTCTAGGTATGATCATAATCTATTTGAAAAATAACATGTGGAATTAGACTGAGAGAACGATCATGTGTCTGAAACTATCTTGTTAGCACGTAACGCATGCAAGATAAATAAATATTTTCTCATTTACCAATTAATGCATTAGTTCATTTAAAGTGCCACAATTTGGCTAAGACATCTCTACCACCTGGATCTGTTCTTCTCTTCAATTGTCAGTTGGCTGAAAAGCTATGGAATATTAAACTGAATTCTCTCAAGCAATTGGAGCCCAAACTGTTACTGTGTTTACCAACTTAAAAGTCTGAGTGTCAATACAAATGTTTATACATTAATTGTATTTCTTGTGTGCACCAAGGGTTGAAGATATTTATGTTGCTAAAAAATGAATTTTGAAGGTATTAATCTTACTCAGCATGCAGTTGGTGAATAAGAGTGAAGAAATACCAGACAAAGACCTTAAAGCTGAGGAGCCCCATGGCAGGAAGAGCAAAGCAATAAAGAATAGTCGTCTGTTCATCTGTCAACCATCCAGCCATCCCACATGTACTTTTGAGCACAGATAAGCTGTAAGGCACTGTGTTTGGATCTGAGGGGTTTACAATGCTCAGTACAGAGGGAACTTGGATTTATCATCTTGTAGGTGAGGTCAAGCATTTTACAAATTATACAGTTCAATGTGGAGTTTGGCAAGTGCCACTGGAGAAGGAAAAGCCAAGCACCACAACACTCAAAGAAAGGAAATTCTACTTCTGGCTAGGAGGAGGTGACATGGGAGCTGGGCTTGTGCTAGGGAAGGAAAAAGGGTATTTAGGAAGAGGGCAGAAAAGGGCAGAGGTACAAGAGGGATGTATAAGAATCTGGAAGGATCCATGAACTTAGAAGCAACTTCATAAAGCAGTTGTTCTGGGACAAAGCCATGGGTGGAGGGCTGAGGGTGTGAAGGCAATGCAAGATTTTCTAGGTGTAAGATCCAGGAAAGAGATTGGGTAACAAACTGTCATGGTGAGGTCATATTGGACGTTAATTGAAGGTCCTTTTGAAGACTCATTAGAAAGGACTTTGCTTTTCTTAAGGACTAAGCAGGAGCATAGAGCCTGTGAAGGTCCAGCCAGCACAGGCATGAAGCCCCCCTGGGCCCCAGATGGGATCAGTTATGTATCACAGAGAGTCTCAGCAGGAAACAGAGGACACCTCAAGCTGGGTAATTGAGGGGAGTTAATAAAGGGACTATTTATACAGATGTGAGCAAGGTGTAGAAAAAGCACCATAGTACTCTGGGGCCAGGAACCATGGAAAGGCATAACATGCCTCTGCCTGAAGAAGAGAGCGGAGAGAACAGTTAGGACTCAGAGGGAAACCTGTATGGAGAACACTGACTGACAGGAGCTGTGGCCTTGGGCATAGGACACAGTCAACCTGCAGTGACCAAGCAGAGGGGAAGCTGGGAATAAATAATCCAACCTCACTCTGCTCCCTCCCTCTGATCTTCTGCCTTTGTCGCTAGTGGTCAACTGTAACTGAAAGCCAGAGGTAAGGGAGACTGGAACACACTGGAGAGGCACCTCTTCTTAACGGGGCAGGGGAAGCAGCAAAGCTTCCTGGAGTAAATGTGTCTGAGCCGAATTCTGAGGTGAGGAAGGTGAAGGGAGAAGAGGTACACTGAAAAAACAAAAACGGAAACAAAAAACATAGGCAAAAGGCCAAGGCTTAGAGAGGGGTTGTGCAATGGCTTCTAGAAACTAACTCATTCTATGTGATGGGAGCCTGGTGGGACTTGAAGGGCCAGAGTTGGTGTGAAAGTCAAGGAGAGACCAGTCCTAAGGATCCTCAGACATTGTGCAGAGTGGACTCTAAGGCTTTGTAATAGAACATAATGAAAAATATCTGGGCGCCTGGGTGGCTCAGTCGTTAAGCATCTGCCTTCGGCTCAGGTCATGATCCCAGGGTCCTGGGATCGAGCTCCGCATCGGCCTCCCTGCTTAGCGGGAAGCCTGCCTCTCCCTCTCCCACTCCCCCTGCTTGTGTTCTCTCTCTCGCTGTGTCTCTCTCTGTCAAATAAATAAAATCTTAAAAAAAAAAAGAAAAATAATAATTTCTGTAGTTACACAACCCCTTTTTATCTCAAGAGCACTAGAGTTCAATGATTGAAGGTCTCCATCTCGTTTTAAGTGTCTTGCAATTCTGAATATGTCTTTAGCCATTTATAACTTACTTAAACATAGTGTGCTGAATACCATGTTTACTCACCACTATAATAGACCACTCGGGGCTACACCAAAACTTTCTCTAGTATAGGCCTATAGTTTATGGGGCAAAGGCAGTGATTCTGGAGCCAGACCTCAGCAGAAGCCGGAATCTGCTACTTAACAACTGACTATTCTAATGCAAATTACTTCACCGAGCTTCAGTTTTATCCTCTCTAGAGTAGTCATGCTTAACAACAGGGCCACCATGAATGGCTGTGTAGGTTGTTCACTGCACAGAAGCAGGCAGCCAAGGTGGTGAGTAGAGACTGAAATTCAGCTTGTATTTTGCTGTTCAAGCCATACACCCCCAAGTGGATTTCATCCACCAGAAATAAAGACACACAAAAGTGCCATTAAGGTTAACTGTGACCTTGCTTAAGCAAATGCCTGGTATATTGTAAGGGATCAATAAAGAGCTACTATCATCATGATCATGATATCATCATCATCAACAACATAAAATGATCATCATCATCATCCTTTTGTTGTGATGATGAACGTTTGGTTTTTATAAATATAACCTAATGGCACCAGGATAAAACCTGCCTCCCTCCCTCAAATCAAGAATGTAGTGAAATCTACATGAAAGTGTTAGGAATAACAAGAGAATTCAGAGTGAGATGGGGAACACATTTAAGGTTCAAGGACTTCAGGCTTTGAAGTTAAGGTGTAACAGGCAATTCAAAGAGTCCCAAAAGGGAGGTGAACACTTCACCAAGACTGCCATTTTCAAGCCAATCCAGTATGGATTGGGCTGCATTGGGAGTGTTTTCCACATCATCTGTGGTTTCTCCCCTTTCTTCCAGACATCCTGCTTGTTCTTATGACAGTAGATGGTAACTCCTGTACAATTACAGTTACTATTCACATTGCATAGTGACTTCCATCCAGATTCAGAAATCCCTTATACTGTGTACTTTTTTGGTTTCTCTAACTTTTGTCTTAAAAGCATTGCACTGTGCATGAAAAACCCATAATTGAGACTGTCATGAATTTCATTTGTGATACTTGAATTCTTAGATATTCCTTCCTGATTGTTAAAGATAAATACCTTCAAAAGAAGGCATATTCTGGAAGAAAAAAATATAAATCTTATATAGAGAGAGAGATATCAATATCAAACACACACAATACGTGACTTTCTGTTAAATAAAATGATCTCCTATATTACTTTTGAAAATAACTTATTTAAGAAGATACTATTTATTCAAAGAATACATTTGGCAGAAAAATTACACTCAAAATGTTATCATATGAATACCTTTGTCTCTTAAAACGAATCACTGTGAATTCATTAATTTGTTTTTTGTCATCATTTGCCTGAGAAAAATTTTACTAAAAATTTTCTGAGATGATACAAACTTTGGATGTTCACTTATTTGGTAAATATTTATTGAACATTGTGTGCTAGGGGCTGAAGATGGATGGATGAGGAGAGTTCCCTTCATAGAATTTACTATTTACCAGAGGAAATAGACATTAATCAAATAACCATATATGAAAACACAAGACAGCAGGTATAACAATTGTCATGAGAAGAAGTCTGAAGGGCTTTGAGGACCGTAGTATTAGACAGGGAGGTCACAGAAGGCTTCCCCATGGCAGTGAATTTGAACTGTAATGGGAAGGCTAAGATCTCTATTAACTAGATGAGGAGGGGAGAAAGGGCACTCCATACAAAAGCCCAGTGGCAGGAAGAAGCATGGTGCGTATGGGAAACTGAAAGAAGATCCTTCTAGCCTGAGTGGAGAGAGAGAATAGGTGACATATGGGACAAGATGAGGCTGCAGAGGATGGGAGAGACCATTGCATGTGAGGCTGTGAGGGGCATATTATAGAATCTGGTCTTTAAGCTAAGAGCTGTGGGAAGCTGTTGTAAGGTTTCATGCAGGGGAGTGGCACCATCAGAGTTGTGTTTTGAAGAGACCATTCTGGCTACAACATGGGAGATTGACTGGCAGTGTTGGCCAGACAAAGGCCCCATCAAAAAGGAGAATTACAGACCGATATCTTTGATGAACATGGATGCAAAAATTCTCACCAAGACACTAGCCAATTGGATCCAACAATACATTAAAAGGATTATTCACCATGACCAGGTGGGATTTATTCCTGGGATGCAAAGGAATGCATTTGCAACATCTGCAAATCAATTAATGTTATATACTACATAAATAAAAGAAAGGACAAGAACCATATGATCCTCTCAATTGATGCAGAAAAAGCATTTGATAAAATACAGCATCCTTTCTTGGATTATAACTCTCCACAGTGTAGGGATAGAGGGAACATACCTCAATATCATAAAAGCCACTTATGAAAAGCCCACAGTGAATATCATTCTCAATGGGGAAAAACTGAGAGCTTTCCCCCTAGGTCAGGAACATGACAGGGAGCCCAATCTCACCACTGTTGTTCAACATAGTACTAGAGGTCCTAGCCTCACCAATCAGACAACAAAAAGAAATAAAAGGCATTCAAATTGGCAAAGAGGAAGTCAAACTCTCACTTTTTGCAGATGACATGATACTTTATGTGGAAAAGCCAAAAGACTCCACCTTAAAATTGCTAGATCTCATATGGGAATTCAGCAATGTGGCAGGATATAAAATCAAGGCACAGAAATCAATTGCATTTCTATACACTAACAATGAGACAGAAGAAAGAGGAATTAAGGAATCAATCCCATTTACTAGTGCACTAAAAATGATACGATATCTAGAAATAAGCCTAACCAAAGAGGTAAAGGATCTGTACTCTGAAAACTACAGAACACTTATGAAATTGAGGAAGACACAAAGAAATGGAAAAACGCTCCATGCTCATGGGTTGGAAGAGCAAAAATTGTTAAAATGTCTATGGTACCCAGAGCAATCAACATATTCAATGCAATCCCTATCAAAATATTGATATTTTTCACAGAGCTGGAACAAATAATCCTAAAATTTTATGGAACCAGGAAAGACTCTGAATAGCCAGAGGAATGTTTAAAAAGAAAACCAAAGCTGGGGGCCTCACAATGCTGGACTTCAAGCTCTAATCATCAAGACAGTATGGTACTGGCACAAAAACAGACACATAGATCAATGGAACAGAATAGAGAGCCCAGAAATGGACCCTCAACTCTATGGTCAACTAATCTTTGAAAAAGCAGGAAAGAATATCCAATGGAAAAAGACAGTCTCTTCAACAAATGGTGTTGGGAAAATTGGACTGCCACATGCAGAAGAATGAAACTGGACCATTTTCTTACACCATACACAAAGATAAACTCAAAATGGATGAAAGACCTAAATATGAGACAGGAATCCATCAAAATCCTAGAGGAAAGCACAGGTAGCAACTTTTTTGATCTTGGCCACAGGAACTTCTTGCTGGACATGTCTCTAAAGGCAAGGGAAACAAAAGAAAAAATGAACTTGGGACTTCATCAAGATAAAAAGCTTTTGCACAGCAAAGGAAAAGTTGACAAAACCAAACCACAACCTACAGAATGGGAGAAGATTTTTACAAATGTCTTAGCAGATAAAGGGCTAGTACCCAAGATCTATAAAGAACTTATCCAACTCAACACCTAAAAAACAAATAATCCAGTCAAGAAATGGACAGAAGACATGAACAGACATTTCTCCAAAGAAGACATACAAATGACTAACAAACACAGGAAAAAATACCACCATCCCTCGGCATCAGGGAAATACAAATCAAAACCACAATGAGATACCACCTCACACCAGTTAGAATGGCTAAAATTAAGCGAGGAAACAACAGATGTTGGTGAGGATGCAGAGAAAGGGGAACTCTCTTACACTGTTGGTAGGAATGCAAGCTGGTACAGCCACTCTGGAAAACAGTATGGAGATTCCTCAAGAAGTCAAAAATAGAGCTACCCTATGACCCAGCTATTGCACTACTAGGTATTTACCCAAAGGATACAAACGTTGTGATTCAAAGGGCCACCTGCACACCAGTGTTTATAGCAGCAATGTCCATAATAGCCAAACTATGGGAAGAGCCAAGATGTCCATCAACAGATGAATAAAGAAGGGGTGTGTGTGTGTGTGTGTGTGTGTGTGTGTGTGTGTAATGGAATATTACTCAGCCATCAAAAAGAATGAAATCTTACCATTTACAATGACATGGATAGAACTGGATTGTATTATGCTAAGCAAAATAAGTCAATCAGAGGAAGAAAATTATCATATAGTATTACTCATAGAGGAATTTAAGAAACAAAACAGAGGATCATGGGGAAGGGAGGGAAAAATAAGACGAAATCAGAGAGGGAGGCAAAGTATAAGAGACTCTTAACTCTAGGAAATAAACTGAGGGTTGCTGGAGGGGAGGTGGGTGGGGGGATGGGGTAAATGGGTGATGGGCGTTAAGGAGGGCACGTGATGTAATGAGCACTGG